CACCGGCCTGGTCAGGGGGTCCCCGACCCTTAGCGTGAGTCCCGTGAGTGGGGGGTGGCAGCAACACAGAGCCCGGTCCCCCTCCTACCTGGTGATGGAGATGGCCGCTTCCCTCCCAGGCATCACCGGGGCGGGGGGGGCTGCACCCCAACCAGCCCGAGGGACAGGGACAACGTGCCACCGCGGCGGGGATGGGGGTGGGTGCCCGCGTACCCCTCGCCCAAGGGTGGGGGAGGACGGGGAGGGGAGAACGTCCCCGTCTCCCTCCCAGCAGCGCTTGCCTCTGCTCCCGGGCTCAGGCTTTGTCTAACTCCTTCCCACGCACTCCCGCTTGCGCTGCAGGGGGGAAGGCGGCCTGCTCGCCTCGCCTGCATCCCTGCATCTCCCCCAAACCCTCCAGCATCCCCCCAAAACCCTCACAGCTGCTCCCCATCACCCTATAGCATCAATTTACACGCACACACACACACACACCCCCACACACACGGGATGTCATCGCCGGGGCAGGAGCTATATAGATCTATAGAGTGGAGGAGGAGGGTGTGCTAACATTAAGCCCAAGACAGGGGAACCCCATCTTGTGGTTAATGTTAGCACAGACACCCCCCTGGACCTATGGATCTATAGGATGAGGCCAGTGCAATGGGAGCTGGCACACCTGGTTGCTTGGAGACAAGGGAGGTTGGAAATGCTCCTTCCAGTAAACAGCCAGTCTGGAACAAAACCCCGAAGGCTAAAAATAGGGAGGCAGGATATTGAAATAAAACAAAAAGCGTTGCTTTACCCACCCTGGGGCAGAACAGGGCACCCCCATGTCACTGCCAGGCACCCTAACGGGGGAACGGGGTGGATGGTGTGCGGGTGCATCGCTGTACCCATCAGTGTGTGTCCCCCTCCACCCATATGGTCCTGTGGGCTGGTCCCAGTCTGGCAACATTGACTGGGCCCAGCTGCCTGCTTGCAGTGGGGAGGAGCACAGTGTGGGGCACAGGTATGGGTTTATATCCCACACTGCATGTGTGAGATCACACCCCACAGACCCTGGGGAGCACAAGGGACACCACGGGTAGGATCATGTCCTGGCAGAGGAGGGGACTGAAATGTCCCCCATCTCCTGGCCAGGACTTTGTCACAGGGCAGGGGGCTGTGGGGTCACATACGGCTGCCATTTGCTTCCACCCACTGCTCTCCCTATCCCCATCTGCATCTCGGCACCCCACACGTCCCCTGGCCAGGGTGGCAGTGGGTCGTAGGGAGCATCCTCCCCTCCCCACAGGCAACCTTCATCCCAAGCTGGCTGCCTCTTCCTCCTCCTCTCCCCACCCGGGCACTTCGGGGCTGGCAGGAGAACAATAGCGAGGAGGATGAGTAAGATGGTCCCCATCACCTTGGCAACGCACTCCCGCGCTGCCGGCGTGCGAGGAGTCAGGCAGCTGCCTGAAAAGCGCATTCTCTCTCTCGGCGGAGGGGGCTGCCGACACAGGTAGCATGGCAGCCCCCTCCTCGGCGCCACGGCCCACCTCCCACGCCTGCACGGGCAGCGCCACGTGAACGCGCCGGGCTCCCCCACAGCCGCTAGCACGCCGCCGGCATCCGCACACACCGGTGCAGGCAGATGCACGCGCCCGGCACACAGCTCGGCCCAGGCTTGGCCCCTCGCCATGCGGCTCGCCAGTGCTCGGTTGTGCCGGGATGCGGTGGAATGCAGCTGACAGGGTCTGGCTGGGAAATGTGTCCCGTGTTGGGCTGCCCGGCGGGCAGGTGATGGGTTTCCTGGTGCTGCTCACGGCCATGCTGCCTTCACGCAGGCTGCCCACATTATCTGCGGGCAGGGCGGCTGGGCTCTGGAGCTGACAGGGTGCTGGAAAACAGGAGCAGCAGAGGATGCCCGGGAGCACCAGGGTCCCATTGCCACATGTGTGTCCCACATTGCCCTCCAGGCTCCCCTCCCCAGGACAAGCCATGCTGCCAGCAGAAGAACCCTCGGCATGGCCAGAACTGCGAGTGCCTTGGGATGGAATCAATGCCACTGTCAGACCCAAAAGCACCAAGCACCTGAAAAATAGCCCTGCCTTCATGTCAGGCACTGGGAGGGACCCAATCTCTGCCAGCATACTCCGCCCTGGCTGCCCCAACATGCAGCCCATGGCTGGGGTTGACTTGCCTGAGCCCTGGGGGGTGGGAGGGCACCATGGCCCGGACACCACAGCCCGGTGGCCAAGCACCGTGCCCTGGGTGCTCCTGGGTGCAGGCAGGGACACAGCCCCAGGGCTAGCTGGGGGGCGCCGGGAGGGACAGTCCCTAACGCGGGGATGGCCGCGTGGGGCTGCGCAGGCCCCAGGAGCTGGGCGAGCCCCCCACGGCGCCCCGGCACCACATCCCGCTGCCCCTGCACCCGCCCCACCCCGCCCCTGCT